AAAAAAAAACGACGACAAAGAAATATACTACTTTAAAAAGACGAAACGCAAAACAGAGAACCAAGCTATGACCAAATCTTAAAAGAGTTACGTCACGGTTTGTGCATCTTGAAAAGTTTAGCCTAAAATTTTATCGTTTTCAATCGGTTTCAATCTTCTCCATCCGTAACCATCCTTGTCCCTTTATGGTTTATTATTATCTCTTCGGTGTTTTTCTATCTTAGTAAACTATTATTTTCAGGTTCCCCTCAATGTCAAGGTAATTTTGTACGTGGCCAAAATAATTCAAAATACCGTGACTGAGCTCCTTTGATACACGATTAATTCGATCAATAAATTTAAACCAATCAAACAAATCAAATTTTCTGCCTAACAATGGTTATGAGACAGTGAAAACAAAAGTTCTAACGATCGATAAATTGAACAGGACAAGTCTTGATTTATCATTTCAGACTGGCCACTAAAACAAGACAAATAAAACTAGCAACGATTGAAGGAATTCTCGCCACACAAGCGGATTTCTTGGGTGATTTTGCTGCAAGCCTCAATTTATCTCGGTTTGTTACAATCGAATGAAAGCTCACATTACTCGCTGGTTTCTCAAGCTCGACTGCGCCGTTGATTTTCGTCGCTGGCCGACGCCTGTTGAAATTATTTGAATTCTTTCTAAACAGAGTGAAGTTTACAACTGTCGATACATCTGGATCAACAGTTACGGTCTTCTTGGAGTTTTTAAATCTGCGTTTAGCTACGCGGACGGTGTAATTTCCTGGAACCAAGAGCCGCCAGAAGTCGCCATCCTTGGAGGTCTTAATCTTTTTGGCGCGATTCTCGATGATGATCCTTGCCCCCTCAAGAGGAAGGCCCTTCTCATCAACTACAAAGCCCCTTATTCCGGACTTATGCACCAATTCGATGAACTTGAGCAAGGCCTCGCGGTTTGCGTACCAGTAGCGCATGATGTAAAGAGCTGGCGGATATTTACAGCAACCAAGTTCCAATGTTATCTCAAAACAGTTTCTAAAAAGAAAAACAAGAAACTTATCGATCTACAATCTTTTCTTTGAACAAGATGTATCCTACATTTCAGGCCCCAGTTGTTCGAAGGCTGAATAACGCTATCCACCGGATAAATCAATATTCACTGGATAAATGTTAACAAAACAAACCACGCTATTCGTTGGTTAGTGATTCATCCGGTGAATAGCGTTATCCACCTTTCGAACAACCCGGGCCAGAAGTAATTACGTACAACATGAATGGGACATTTTGGTCATTAACAACCCTTCTTAAGGTGGCTCCCTATAGTTTTACGATCGCGCGAGTGCTGAGGAAGTAATCTGCGCGCGCTCAAAGGTAAACGTAAGTGTTTTTCGATACTTTATTACGTCAACATGAGCACAAAAAGAAAAATTGACAGTGAATTTTCTCGCGTTTCCTTGGTGAAATTCCGTAAAATTTGGCAGATTGGTAGCAAATATTTTACTTTAGTCGGAGCTCGTTTTTCAGGGAAATCTATAAGGCCAGATTTTTTGCGGTGGTAAAAGACATAAATTTGAAAATATCGAAGAAACTGCCTTTACAAACCCTACTTTTTTCGTGTTTAAAATTTTTATCCCGCTGCAGGCGATGTGATGTAAAAATTTTGGAAGATTTCACCGAAGGAAATTAATGAAAGTCACAAATAAGCCATAAAAACAGTAAAAAACACTTTTGTTTGGGCATATATAATTTAAGACTAAATCCCAACTTTTTAACAGAGATGATAGGAAAACACCATTTAATCATTGCTTATTACATGTAATAAGTTTGAGAGGACTAGGTGTGAAAGCGAATGTAAAAACAGCATTCAAAACATAACACTTGCACGCAACGCAGTAAATGATTACCCTATGAAGCCACCTTAATTAATTTAATCATCTTCTCACTTAGCTCTAGGGTATTTTCTTACCGTAGCAAATATCTTAAGCTTTGTTTCAATTTTGGGGGAGTTCTGCGATATAAAACGCCATTAGTTCTGTTCCACACGAGTCTCAGTTCTTCCTTTACCCGTTCAAACGACTGGAGATAGTTTGTCACAGTTATTTAGCTGGCTACGACCTTTTGCGATGAATATAATTAACATTCAGTTGAAAGAGACCTGAAAATAATAGTCCTCTACAATAGAAAAACACCAAGGACGTAAGTAGTTTTACAAAGGATTACCGTACGTTTTATAATAATTGTAGTCTTGCATTCCTCCAGAGATTGGGTACCAGGCCGCCCCGTTTGTAATCCCGTCAGTAAATCTTTCCCTTCGCTGGATTGGACATTGAGGATGGCCCTTGTGCATTGTGGGATGCGCCAGTGAGTAAACTTTGGAGATGGAAACAAAAATGTCATCATCCGGGGAACTGTAGTAGACTCTAGTTCCAGACCTCTTCAATTCTCTCGGGAGGTTATCAAAGGGATAATTCACTACCAGTGTCCCTCCGTGTAAGTTTGCTGAGAGGACGAATGGCTCCTGGTGAATCCAGTTCATGACAGCTTGAGTCTCAGGTTGGAGTTCATTCTTCTGCCCGTCGTAAGGATCAGGAAAATTCCTGTTCAAATCGACACCGTTTGCGTTGAATCTTCCTCTGACACTCGAACAATCGCCTTCCTTAGAACTCTCCCATCCATCGGGATTCATTGAAGGTAACAAGTGGATTCTGGTTGTGTCGACAAGTTTTGTAACCCTCTCGTCACGTCCATAATTTGAACACAGATAATCCGCCAACAAAAGAAGCATTTCTCGTCCGACAACCTCGTTTCCATGCATGTTTGCCACGTACTTGAACTCAGGTTTCCCCGGTGTATGCATCCCAGGATTCCTCGTGATCTCCAGTACCCATAAGCCTTTGCCTTGATAGGATTTTCCAATGGAGTACAACCGTGTTATGTTGGGATAAGTCGCTGCCAAAGCTTCCAACACTTGATGTAAAGCAGTGTTGTTATGGTGAATAGCTTTGACTGGCAGGATATCACAGCGTGACTGGTGCACGCCAAAAAGAAGCAATAGAGCTATCGCTAGCCACAGAGTCCGCCATTTTGTCTTTGTCAATCTATATTCCATGTCTTGCACTCTTAAAAAGATCAATAAACACATGTTACGAAAGAAATTACTTTTAATTACAAAATAAGGCGAAGTATCCAGTTGTCCAAACCAGTTCTCTAGGAGCATTGCCACCCCCACGCTATCCCCAGGAGGGGAACTAATCAAATGCAGGGGTCCCCCAGCATTATTGTCCAGAACTCATGACATAATTATTTGGTTGGAGTTAGCGTGATAGGCGATCGCGTACAAGACCAGCAAAGGTTTCCATGACACAGTAATATATTTGCGCGCCAAACGTTTTTCCCCATACATCAAAAGAGTAATTGATTAGGACAAGAATGAATGAATGAAAATTTTATTTATTACACGGTAAAAAATATTAGTACATTAATAGAAAAAAGAAATACATCACGGGTAAAATTTTCCCTTGACTAGTTTAAATATTTGCCGCGTGGGAGTCCGATGCAGACAACCATTTATTAATGCTTTTCTTGAAGATGTCTAGAGATTTTGTAGTGCGGAGTTCCTCGGGAACATCGTTCCATAGAGAAGCTCCTCTATAACTGAAGCTACGCTTCAGGTAGTCAGTTCTTGGTTTCGGTAGATATAATTTTTGTGCGGCGTCGCGAAGATTAAAGGACAAAGTTCTCGGAGAACAGTTTTCAATTGAGTGTCGCAAGTAATTACTTTGGTTTTGATTTTGGTTTTACAACTGTTTGAGATTGGCTGAGTGGTCTAATTGGTGAGTAATTGGTTTGGGTTTGGTTTTGAATTTACGACACTCAATTGAAAACCGCTCTGTATTTCATTTTGAGCGAGGTTTTGATTCCAAATTCATCAGTGAATGATGACGAAAACGGCGCATGCAAAGCACTGTGGTTGAGAGAGAATTTGATTAATAGAACAACAAACAAATTTCAGTTTTGGATTCTTGGTTGTCTGTAGCACATATATGACGATCTGCCTTTATTGAAAATGAGGAATGTGATGTTGTAACTATTGCTGCCTGTATATATAATAACGCGCGCGCTTAGATAACCCGCAGCCCCTAAAATGTCGGGGATCGATTGATCATTTGGTCAGTTTACGATCAAAGTCAGTGTTTTTCTTGGTCGGCAGGGAGGAATGTCGAATGAAAAGGAAGACAGTCTTGCTGGGATTAAAGGCAAACTAAGAACTTAGAAAAATCAAATGCGTAAACAACAGAATGTCTTGGCGCGTCTGGGGTTAAGTTTTAGACAAACTTAAACTTGCACTGCGGGCCTGGAAATGTTGCCACCTTACCTCGGATGTTTCACTTCGTGGGCCTTTACATTAACTGTTCTATTTTAGCCCCCAGCGTGTCTTCTGGGTTTCCTTTTTATGAATCTGAAAGCTTATAATTATTTGTTTGGTGCCCCTTCTGTGCTGCATGTTGGCTGATTGACAGTGAGAGAAGCTTATCCCAGGAATTAAAATCTTGTGCCAACAGAGGTGCACTTCTGGTGCCAATACGACTACAAGATTTTCTGATCACTTCAGCAATTTACACCACTTCCTCCCCGCAAACTTCAAGTATTTAAAGTATTACCAATGATTGTAAGAACATTATCATGTAAAGTTTTAATGAAGTATTTTTATGACAAAATGTTATTTTAATAACATTTGAGGCAATTTTTTTTTACGTTGCGAGACGAAAACTAAGCATCTCAAGTAGTTATTATAATCAGTGGAATTATGTTCTAAGAACTCCTAACAAATGGCTTTAACGGATTTCCTTATTTCAGTAGGTCGTCACCTTGCCGAAATACTTTGCATTTTTGTGCCACAAAATTTGCTGAGTCCGATGACTGAAAAACATCAGCGGAATGCGTGGCTGCCGCGCAGCTGAGGAAACTGTAAAATTACTGTCTTCTCGTTCTGCAGCGTATTGCTGTTTCTAAATCAATTGCAGATTCAATTTCCTGTGTAATTCCAGTATTGACAGGTATTAATTTAGACTTCAATCACCCCAGGCACCGATTCTGTGTTTCACTTCTATTGAGGCAACTCTCGCTAACACTGAATTATTACTAAATTGTTTCCGTGGTTGGAAAGGTTACAAGTTTCCGTTTAAACTATACTTTTCTTTTAGGCCTTTCTTATTTTTGATCAAAAAATTGTTCTAATTTTCGACACTGGAAACTAAAATAATAAGAAATAACGGACATCTGCGAGGCGATGATGTGACCACGAAGTATATAAATTTTGTCGGAACGGTGTGCGAACAATCATGTGAACACATCGAAATTGCGACATTCCGTCAATAATTTGGCCTTCTCCAGGCGTCCGGGCATCAGCGGCCAGCAGCATGCGAACTCTGCACATGGGAGCACATGGGAGCCAACTTTTTGAATTGCACTGACACTCACAAAGAAACAGTAACACAAACCCAGTTACATCTAAATAATTTGTCATCCAACACCACGTCCTCCAGATGGTGGAGATTTCCCTCAAAACATGTGTTCACTTCACACTGGCTTCTGTGGATTGTATTACCCAAGTAAATCCCAAACGCTATGTATTTCATTTTGCGAGTATTGTGAATATTCATGCGAACTACCCTTAAACAAAACTAAGACATTCGCCCACTTAACGCCGGCCGCAATTCTTTATCTTGAGTGCAGCGAGTTTTCAGCAATAAGCGTGACCATCCCCTAAACAGTAGTTCATTTAGTGTCCGCAGTGATCCCTAACTCACCTTGTATCCGCGCAGAAGCCAGTGTCTCTTGTAGTTTTGAATTAAATGCTTTTCAAACTCGTCCCTGCAAACTTTGTCCAGCGACCGACCGAATTCCTATTTGCACTACAGCAAACACAAGCTTGCTCACTGCTCGCACATCACAACTGAGAAGAAAGGTCTCGTTCGCAAGTGACTCCACAACAGCCGTTGGTGATTTGATCTTTGTCGTTTCTTTGTTAGATCACTTCCGGTAGCTCTCTAACCACAAAACCGCCAAATCTGCTCTTCAACACACTAAGAACAATGAGGACAAGGCAGTTATTACAAACCTTCATTGTTTGAGGGATGTCGGCTTCTTACTCCCAGTGAGAGAGGCCGATAAGTTAAACAAATCATCTCCGAGTCTCGGTTTCGTCTGTCCGACTCTAGTCAGCCTGACTTGAAGAAATATAATGGAACCTTTATCTGTTACAGTCACAGATTACACACCCGCTATAAAGATGAAAGAACGCATTCTTTTAGCATTTCAGTGCCACTCCATCGACATCATCACTTGATCATCGTTATCGCTGTGTCAGACCTGGACTGGAAATTCAAATGTTGATCTCTCCGACTTTACGCAAGGTATCTCCGGGGGTATCTCTTGGTATTTTTTCACTCCGCGGGGTTTCCCTTGGCCCCGGGACTCCGTGACATCTGACCATCAAACGCCATTAATCTGCCAATGACCCAGCCGCTGAGTTATAATTTATTTCATTTGTGCTCTGGGACTTTCCATCCCGGGTTTCCATTCGTTTTCTTGTTATTCGTGTTAGGATCGTAAGATACCCTGCATGAGAAAGCTTGTACTGCTTGAGTGGTTGTTTATCAGTACAGGACAGTGAAAGAACTGAGTAGCTTCGAAACTGAACTCTGTCAAAAACACGTTGATAACTAATTGATGCCAAGCTAACATGATACATGTTTGAGAATTTATAAATATTAGGCACATCAACGATTACTCTTAGTGCAATCTTTGCTGACCGTTTGGTTCTCAAATACGCGGAGCTGAATAATAGCTATTAGTATTCATCCTCAAAGCCTCCAATGGTAAAGAGATTTAGGTACTAGATTTTATACCCTCTGGCCTGAACTGAGTAGGGTTCTTTTTTGCCCTATACCTTGATCTTCGCTTAACCCTACTTAGTAGCCAGTTTATAGGGCAGGGGCGGGATTTTCAATGAGGGCAAATCACGAAGAGGTTTTGCATTGCTGCGTGCTAAAGTTATGGGGAGTTCGAGTAACTAAGACCGCGACGCCGAAGACAGCGTCGATTTAAAAATGAATTTATATTTTACCTACGAATTTCGCGATACCTTCAAGTAATTTAGTTTGTTTCTCTTTGTCAAAGCTATTTTTAACTGAATATGGAACATAGCGTAAAATCGGCGAAATATAGATTTTTAAAATTAGCCGTCGTAGTGCACGTTCTCCAGACAACGCAAAATTCGGTCATTTCACGTTGTCGTCCTGCAGAGGACGGCAAAGAAATGTACCAAGAATTATAACGCACGTGCACAGCTATTGTTCTTAGCGACGTTGCCGTTGCCGTTGCTGTTGTGGTTTTCTTAGGCCTAGTTCACACTAGCAACATAAGACACACAACATAATGACATAACAACTTAACAAAATAGCTTACGCCGTAATGTGAACATCGACAAAAAACATAAGGAAGAGATAATTTTTTTTCCTTGTGTCGTTGTGTTTATGCTGTCATGTTACTATTATGTCATTATCTCGGGATGTTCACACTGCAAATATAACAACAGAACGTCCCTCTTATGTCGTTATGTTTATGTCATTATGGCGTTATGTCGCTAGTGTGTACAAACCCTAAAACTCCCTAATGTCCCTTTTTTGTGCCCGCAACCCCCGTAAAACTGTACTTGGGGAGAGAAACTTTGATCTCCTAGGTCGAAGAAATTATTCCTGAAGACGGCATGTCAACAACATAAAGACATCATTTGATTGATAAGTTGACAGACACAGACTGACTGACAGATCGACTGGTTGAATGATTAATCAATTGATTAAAAGGAAACCCTGTAAAAAAACCCGCAATTTTGGAAAGTTTGCCAAAAATACTACACATTCATTTTCGTGTCGGAGTGCTAGCAGAAACCCTATAAAGAGTTGGATGGCTTTCTGCTCCTAGTACTGATTAAAACCATTTAGGCGATGACTTTCAAGAACTGTACATGTTATACTTAGTTGTAGAGTTCTAAAGAGAACAGGTCCCTGCCTAGTTACGTAGCTGTTGTTATGCACTTAAGTGACCCACCGTTAATTCTACGAGGTCATGGCGGAAGACAAGTGAATAACGTTTCTCTGCAAGTTAACGTCAAAAGCATCAATGACGTGACGTTTGATGGGTTTTAAAGAGAGCATAATGAAACAGTTGACAATACTCCGTTGCTTGTTATAGTGAATCAGTAAAACAGACAAAATATATAACGTTTCAACTCGCTGCCTGACATAGCAGGTGCTAACACAAGGACCGAAATTTTTTTAACGCTCAGAAACTTTAAAGAATTGTGTTTGAAGCTTAGGTCGGAATTCTTACTGTTCTTAAATGCGCTAGAAGTTTTGACAGAAGTCGTTTTTCAACTATAGGATAAGTCAACGAATTAGACTGACAGAAATACGAATATAGACACCCGTACCTGCTGATTCACTCACCTATATAAACCGCCTTGTTCAAGGTTCAATGAACCATGTGAAGGCTATTCAAATTCAATTGACCGTGGAAAACCTTGGTACTTACCATTTATTGTAAAATATTGTTTCTGTTTAAAGGGCCCCTTCGGGAGCTTGTAGAGTTATCTTTCTTTTAGTGTAGGCTTGCCTCATGTTGAACGGGTAGCTTGATTTTAAGATTGTATGGTAACACGTGCTACAGTCCTGTTGACAACCCTGCTATCCTCCCCTCCCCTCCCCCAACAGATGCTTCACTTTAACTCTGCATACAACGTTTTTCCGAAGAAGAATCTCTGGCCAAGATCACTGCTGCAGCAAGATGCTAAAAGAGGTTTTAATTCAGTAATTCATTTTTCCGTCGTTTCAGTCAGTTAAAGATTCTAATGGTGCCTTTATCTCTCCTTCTCCAGTGCTGAGTTTAACAACTTGTAAGAACATTTGAAATGAAGAGGAAACACCAGTAACTGTCCATTAGACAGCTTTGTAATCACAAAGTGAACTAACTCCGCGCAAATGAGAAATGAAGCCCAAATTTGGGTTACAGACCTGGAATTTACAAGTCAAAACTTAGTGCAGGGGAAAATCAAACTTCTTCATATAAATAATTATGCAATTTTGTCGAAGGCCGCCCATGTTACTAATCAGGACTTCTGTTTCCATCTTCGTCGCTAGACTTTCAAAGTACCGTTACAATGTACACATGTAAAAAAGAAGGGAACCTCGCTTAATAATTTCAAAGCTAAAAGTTGACTTAGATTTTTATTAGAATACTTTCATCTTTTCAGGTTTATAGCTCATTTGACTAAATAAAAGTACCTAGTTATTTCCATAAAATTAGCAAAACTTCGATCAATTTAGCGACAAATATTGTCAAAATACCTTTGGAAATATAAAATTGTATTTAAGTATTTGAAACACCTATTTCCCCAACAACAAATAAAATTCTTTTCTGTTAATAGAGTATTTGTGGTGAATATTAACCAGCGGTGTCGATATTTTGTTACGCGGTTCCTTACTCAGATAACCCCTTCATGTAAACAAGTCCCAGACTGTGCTGTGGTGGAAACATCCGGAAGGTCCACTCACAAGAGCACAAGATTTTCCTGTGTGAACTTTATTCAGTATTTGCTTTTATGTTTAGGTACCTCTCGGGAGTCTATAGTCGGTAATTTGTTGAGAAACTTAATAACTGTTCATAAGTCTTTACCCTTGTTAAGGTAATTCACTGACACTTCGTTTAAGAATTAAAGTCTGCATTGAAAAGAGGAAATATCGAAGAGCAGCTGAATTTTTCATTGTTGTAGGTAACTAACATTCGTTAACCGTATTGCCCCTAGCCTGCTTCGTGAAGTTAGTCACTGTTATCTGTTCAAAGTAAAAGAAGATTCGACACTCCTCAAAGATGCTGACATTATCACTTTGTTTGTTCAAAGTGAGTTAACAGTTTTTATTGAATTAAGTCCACCATTAGACAAAACTCCTGCTAATCGGCCATTAAAGTAATGATTTTCCAACTGAGCATATTATGCCAGTTAACTTGTGTACTATTCTATCTTTATTATGATGTCTGTTACAAATAAACGTAAACAAAGCTCTGGAGAAACTGCAGTATTGAAAAATTTCGTAAAAATGCCCGGCGAGGCACGCAGCTCGTGAGATTAATAATGACTGTGTGTTTAACAACCGAATCATGCCAAATCGACAATGGACATATTTGAGTCTGGAATCAGTGATAAATGGAGGTGAACTCTATATGTTCATCGACCTTCATATTAAATTAAAGGAATCTTAATCTTGAAACCTTACCTTACCACCTGTTCACCGCTTCAGTGACCTTGTTTCCCGCCAAACAGTTCAGCCATTGTTACGCTTCGCCGAGTTCTTTCTTTCAACAGGTTCTGTCAGGTTTTCGATAGCTCCTAAACTTCCCACATTTGAAGGAAAATTCCCATAGTATTTAGTTACTGGAAAGCCAAGTTTTAACCAAAACAGCAGTTCTATATTTAGATGAGATAATCTTGCAGAAATAGAACTCAATGTAAACATTTTTGACAACTGACATCAACATTTTACTAGCACCTATTCCTTTGGATGAATGTATTTGCACGATGTTCTGCGGTTTGCAAACGTCACATTTCTTAAAAGTATTTTAAAACATTCTGAGTCTTCACATGTTTAATAAAAGTATTCTTCTACGATTCTCACTGACAATCTTGACTTTGACTCGTCCGACACGGAACCGTTACCGTTGATATGCTCGATTGTGATTGGTCCTTTCAGGAGTGCAATTCTCCGAAGTGTAAGGACTGAACCCAGAAACCACGGAGACGTATTATTCAACAAAGTCCGAGCTCAGAGTTCCAATTGTCCAACTTCAGTTAGAAAGGTGTCTGAGGATTTAAGGAAAAACCCCCATGACGTTAAATATCATTTCATCTATCAATTTAACAGACACTGCCCTGGTATTATAAATCAATTAGTCCTTTCAAGCTGTTGAGATGGAACCGTTTTGTTTCGATTTTGTTGATCTTCCGTCATTGCACGCCGGAAATTCTGGACAGCGACTTTAAATGTTGTATCCGCTGTAATGAAGACGCATTTAATGATTTCCGAATAATTTATTTTGAAGTTGTTTCTGAACTAATTCGTAAATTGTAAACGTTCGCCAGATATATTTTGTAATTCAAAGGATGTAGAAAGAACCTGTCCATTGATTTTCCATTTCCGGCAACTAGTCCAAACCTCGTTCTGGGAACGAGTTCGAAGCTTGGCGCGCGCGGGAAAATATGACATCACAAAGCTCGTTGGTCGCGTCAATGAACTTCGCCACAACAACAAACGTTTGTTTGAATTCGGCGAAAAAAGCTTTGGTTTACCGAATGGTTTTGAGTAGTTTAAAATTGGCTGTACATATTGGGAAAAAATGAAAGTCGAGGAAGCGGAGAAGTTACCAGTAACTGTGAGAGGTTAGTTCTAATTTACGCTTTCTTTGACCGACTTTAGTCCACGTCTTCGTTCGCTTACGACCTTGTTTTCCATCTTGAAAGAACCACAGAAGTTTGTGCAAAATCAGAAGAAAGACAAACCCGAGCCTGGTTTAACTGAAGAACAAGTGGAAACGTTAAAACAAGTCAGTTCTTTAGTAGCGATGTTCCAACAAGAAGCTCTGAACGAGAAACAAACTCGGCTCTTAGCCCAGCTGAAAGCTCTTGAAAAGGTTTGCTTTGAATTCAGTTT